GTTGGTTTTGATGGGTAGAAGATGACCCCTTTTATAGTCGCTGGAAGCCCTCTTTCTCCAAGACACCCTAATGGTTTCTATCCAATTTTGGCCCAACTTTTTCCTTCCTTTCTCCTCCTATCTTATTGTGGCAAAATCTTCTCTGCTCAATCCCACAAAATCAGGGATTTCGGGAGCTCAATGCTCTTCCTGCGGCTGCCATAGTGGAGGACTCCCATTTTCAGCCATCTTCCTTCCTTCTTTTCTTCCATCCTCCATGGCTAGATCTGATAGGGGGAAAAAGAAATGGGTATGTACACTGGTCTGAAGGGTGCTTTGCTCAAGTATCCCTTGGTTTTTTTTGATGGCTTGCTTTGGGTTTGTCTTTGGACACGTGCTGGAGCCTCACACCTATGGATAGCTTTGGTTTTTGTCGTTGTTTTTGTCTCCAACCATGTGCTGGAGGCTTGTAGATGTTTTCTTGGTTTGCTTGGGCTTTCTTAAGGTGATAGGTAAGCCTACTAAGGGAATGAGCCAACTTTTCCAAGTGATGGGCTAATTTATCATCAAGACTACAGTCTTTCTGCTTTAAAAATATTTGAGGACAGGATATAGGAGCCAACAACCCTTAACTTCAATAACGCATTTGGAAATACCTATAAGAAGGTGCCATACAAAACTACAAAATTACCATTAGCATGGAATATATAAGCAGCAACAACTAAACAGTCAATCATACAGAGAATATTAAACAATCACTTTCTTCACAAAACTCAATCTCATGATGAAAAAGAAAAACTAATTACTGTAACCAGTAGTCACACACAATAGTTGATGACACGCAAAAATAAGATGCAAACTAGATTAATTATAAATAGAAAAAAAAATTTAAACAAATAATTGTTGAGTTGCTTAATTAGAGAGGTTTTCCAACGATTAACTGAGATTTTTGTTAGTCGCCGAATCGCATATACAGCTAAAGTCAATTAAGTATTCACATGTGTGATGATATAATTATGAGTCTGTGAGTGAAACAACAAGAAATCTGAACAAAAGTTGTGTGTTTAAATGGACTAATTAATGTAATTACAAGATGAAAGTGTAAACGCAATACAGAGCCACCAAGCCCAGCAAAAAGCAAGCTGCAACCAAATTGAAAACTGAAAATGAAACACAGAATCCTAAGTTTCAAGAAATTTGCCTCAACTTCGCTGGAACCTTACACTTCCGAAATCACCTTAACCAAAGAGGACAAAGACTTGGCAGGCGACGATAATAAGAAAAAATGCTAACAAAATACAGTAAGAGAGAGAGAGAGAGAGAGAGAGGGTTTGAAGAAGAATTACCTTACAACTTTGGAGAGAGCTTCGGAATAGAGTGCATGAAAATTCAGACTCAAAGAGAAGCGGCAGCTCTGAGGCGTGTAAAAGGTTTTCGACGTGACAATCATACGTAACGTGGTGTAATATGTATATTTATTTATTAGGGCTCGTCAATGGGTGGGGCTGGGCAGGGCATTTTCAGACTTGATGAAATAAATGGCGGGGTCGAGCCGGCCCATGGGCTGGGCTTCCTAAATGGGCTAACGGACAAATAAATGAATAATTCACAGAAAATATATGATTTTCATTCACAGTCTGAAACGTACGTCTAAAATCCAAGTCTGATACAGAATCATAGCCTTCTAATTAAAATCCAAGTCTGATACAGAATCATAACCTTCCAACTAAAATCCAAGTCTCATACAGAATCATAGCCTTCCAAAATCAAAGTTTAATACAAAATTAAAATTAAAGTCTTCCAAACAAAACGTGTTCAATTAGTATAAACAGAGAGAGGGCTGTGAATTCCTATGAGAAACAAGGGTTCTAAGGGAGAGAGGAAGGGATTCTAAGAAGGTTTGATGAAGAGGGAGAAAGATGGGGAAGAGTGACTGGTGGTTTAAGTAATTTCCAGCAGCTTGACGAAAAGTCTGTCAAGATCTGGAATAGCTTGCCCGAAGAGGGAAAATGAGGGAGAAGGGTGAATAGAGCACGAATTTGCTGGGTTTTGCAGGTGAGAGAGGAAGCTTGCTCTCCAGATGTGGATTGTAAGGATGAGAGATGATGCTTGCTCTCTTGATATGAGTTGGTTTTGATGGGTAGAAGATGACCCCTTTTATAGTCGCTGAAAGCCCTCTTTCTCCAAGAAACCCTAATGGTTTCTATCCAATTTTGGCCCAGCTTTTTCCTTCCTTTCTCCTCCTATCTTATTGTGGCAAAATCTTCTCTGCTCAATCCCACAAAATCAGGGATTTCGGGAGCTCAATGCTCTTCCTGCGGCTGCCATAGTGGAGGACTCCCATTTTCAGCCATCTTCCTTCCTTCTTTTCTTCCATCCTCCATGGCTAGATCTGATAGGGGGAAAAAGAAATGGGTATGTACACTGGTCTGAAGGGTGCTTTGCTCAAGTATCCCTTGGTTTTTTTTGATGGCTTGCGTTGGGTTTGTCTTTGGACACGTGTTGGAGCCTCACACCTATGGATAGCTTTGGTTTTTGTCGTTGTTTTTGTCTCCAACCATGTGCTGGAGGCTTGTAGATGTTTTCTTGGTTTGCTTGGGCTTTCTTAAGGTGATAGGTAAGCCTACTAAGGGAATGAGCCAACTTTTCCAAGTGATGGGCTAATTTATCATCAAGACTACAGTCTTTCTGCTTTAAAAATATTTGAGGACAGGATATAGGAGCCAACAACCCTTAACTTCAATAACGCATTTGGAAATACCTATATATTTAGCATAAAAGTCAAGCTGAAAAGTCTTACCCCTTGTATTGTAGTGAAGGGGACTATTTATAGAGGGCATTTGGTATGCTCTTAGTACTTAATTTCGATGTGGGACTCGTGGGAAGGTATTACGAGGTTGACACGAGTCTTTGGATATTTAGGGCGGGGCCTTCGAGATTTTGTTCCGCAGAATCGTCCGTCAGTACCGATTGTGTACTCAGCCTAGGAGCCATCGGTAGTTGATGCCGATTGGTCGTTGTCTTAGGCGATTGGGAGAGCTAACCATTCCACGTGTCACCGTATGAGTGGAAGGTCAGATATGGTACAAACACTTCATTCTTGATTATATTATATATATGTTCTGTATGTTAAACTTTGTTGTCTGACATAATGATATATATAATTAAGTTCCTATATATATATAACACCTTCTTGTTATTAAATTACCATTATTTCTTGTGTTTTTCCCTTTTTCAATTTGTCAAAATCATTGATTTGCTTAGGGAATTTAAAAGTCAGAAAACATCTCTGTGAAAATGCTCTGAAATAATTGGAAACATCTTTTTAGATTAATATTTTTGGCTGCCATTCACACACCACCACAAGAACAGAATCTCAAATTAATCTTTTTGGTTCCCAAATGATCTCTCTCTCTCTCTGTGGACAGATTGTTGCTTTTTCAATTAGAACTTTAGTATTAGATGTCTTTCTTTTGCTTTGTAGATAGATATCATACTCAGATTTACTAGATTCAAATGGCACTATTGTGGAAGGGATCTTGCTTTGTGGAGTTTCAAGTAGGCGTGTACAAGATCCAATCCAATCCAATTTTAATTTTGGTTTCGAAGATTTGGCGGATTAGATTGGATCCATAATTTTCAAACTTGACATGATTGGATCATATGACAGATTTGCTTATGAGAATCCAATCCAATTTAGTTAGTTTTATGCTTATTTTGCTCTTGTAGGTATTTGTTATTGAAAGAGTTATGAATATTTTAAGTCATTTAATGAAGTTATGTTTAATATATTATATAATCAAAACAATTTTCTCTAATATTTTATTTATATTTTACATTTATGTCTATTAATATGTTTGATTATATTAAAAAGGATAAATGTTTAATATTTCATTATTGTCTTTTTCTATTATCAAAACCGATCATCCAATCCAATATCAATTGGATCAGATTGGATTGGATTTAAACATCTAATATGATTGGATCAGATTGCAAAAATCATAATCCAATCTATATCGGATCGGATGCGAATTAACTGAATTGTATTGGTTTCGAACCAACGTACACCCCTAGTTTCAAGGGTAGGGAAGCAGCATGACCTACTATCCTCATTTTACATGTTTACAAGTTTTAATGGTCTTTGGGATTTGTATGATTTTCCTGGATTTGGAGATGTTGTGGAAATCCCTATCTATAGCAATATTGTGAATTAAGAAGAGAGTTACACAAAACCAAAAAGAACAATGAAATGAAATGGGCTTTTGATATTTGAAGGGTGAAAAAAAAAACAAAGGGGTTGAGGTCCAAATCGTAAACTGGGAAAGTAGAATCGGAACCGAGCATGTCTTGTTTGGTTCGGTTTTCCTAGTCATTTTAGGCAAGAATGAACCGAGCATAATTGTGTATATTATTCGATTTCGGTTCTAGAGGAAAAATGATGAGGCCGTGAGTTGGTCTTATTTTTCTTTTCTTTTCGATTTCGATTTCGGTTTTCCCACTCCTAACCACCATTCAAATGATGAGGCCGTGAGTTGGTCTTTTTTTTCTTTTCTTTTTTTGTGGTTTTGTTTTTAATTTTAGTTTTTGTTTAAGTAAAATTAATATATTATACATTAACATTAAAATAAAATGATGATATATTAAATTTTAAACTTTTTTTTTTTGCAACTACAGGATTAGATCCAATGGTGGGACCACAATTTCCTTGGAACATAGGTCGAGGAGAACATGACTGTGTTTTGAGCTACTCTTATGTGATAGAGGATACACAAAAGACTGAAATATGGTCACTTGGCTTTTAATTATTATTTTTCTTTTTCTGAAATATTTCCTCTGCTTTCAACATTACACAGCCAATGCACAAATTCCGTTACCTTCAACAACTATAATTAAAATGCACAAATGATTTAGTTTAGCTAGAAACAAATCAAAGAACTAGAAGGCAATGAAAATCCCAATTAAGGCAAGAAAATTTAATCTTACAACTTCAAACTCTCCATTTTCTTCCCTAAAATGTTACACCTCATCAAACTTCCAATGGTATTGCAAAACATCTTAGCATCTTCCCACCTATTACCATCTGCCAACTTCTTGTACAAGTAACTCTCAAATGTCATGCGTTGCACATACTCATCCCCACACAACTCCACCAAAGCTTCTCTAGCCGCATCACTTCCATAAAACACCTTTTGCAACAAATCCAAAAACCTAAATGTTGTAATGTACTTGGCATCCCACTCTTTCAAATACTCCCTCCTCAAATCCCCTTCGTTGATCATCCTATGGCCTCCTTCGGATGCCTTTACAATCGCTTCGCCGCACAATCTCCCAGATTTCGCAGCAAAATAAATCCCCTCGCCCGAACATTTCGTCACATACCCAGCTGCGTCCCCGACAAGCGCAACGCGCCCTCTTACACGAGTTGGTCGGGGATGCTCGGGTATCGGGTGGGCCTCCACTTTGATCACTTTCCCACCGCTGATCTTAGAATTGGCCCGAGCCCTAATTCCCCTTTGGAACACCTTAATATCCTGCTTGGAGCACACCGTACCAGTCCCCACTGCCACGTGGTCGCACTTGGGGAAAACCCACGCGTAAAAATCGGGCGACACGTCGTTTCCCACGTACATCTCGGCGAGATCTTCATAGTACTCCATTTTGTCGTCCGTCAGCTTAATCCTCTCCTGAAACGCAATGGCGCATGCGTAGCCGCCGGCCTTGATCGATTTGGCGACTCGGCTGTTGGCGCCGTCCGCGCCGATCACGACGTCCACGGCCAGAGCCTTTTGCGAGTTGTTCGAAATGTAGCGGACGACGTACGGCGCGTCTTTCGAGGCCGGGACCTCGAGATCGGTGACGAGGGCGGAGATGAGGTCGGCGCCGCGCGATTGGGCGCGGGAGCGGAGGAAGGAATCCAGCACTTCGCGGCGGAGCATGGCGATGAACTCGTCGGGGCGCAGGGTTTTGCCGAAATCGACGGCGAGATTGGAGGGGGAGAAGATCCTCATGCGGGTGACGTGGCGGTCGATGAGGTGGCGCGGGATGTCGAACTCGTCGAGCATGCAGAGAGGGATGGCGCCGCCGCATGGCTTGGCGGCGGAGGGGCCGCTCCGCTCGAACAAAAAGGTCTCTACGCCACCTGCAGCCAAGGCCTCGGCGGCGGAGGATCCTGCAGGGCCCGCGCCGATCACGGCCACACGGAGCTTCCGGCCGGCTATAAGCGGGTTGGTGGTGGTGGGCTTTGAAGCTCTGACCGTGAGAGTGCGGTGCTTGGTCGGGATGGAAGCTGCGAAGAGGCTCAAAAGCGCTTGAGTTGCTGCAGCCATTGTTGAGGGTTTTGTTTGGCAGCAAGGTGAGTGAGTTTAATTATTGTGATTGTGATGTTGTGAGATGCTTTTGCTTTTGAATATTATTAAATTAATCAGACAATGTGGACGTTGGAACTTTTACTATTTTTATATTGCAACCCACTGTGGAGCTTGGACAGAGGAATCTGGAATCTGTGAGCTTCAGAAAAATAGTTGAAATTTACATTCAACCAGAAAACAGTGGAAATTATTAGAAAGTTAGAGTTGCAGAGTCAGGTGGGAATTGGATGTGAGGGTGAAGCAGTGGAAAGCAATTCCTGGATGGTGGTAGGGCGGCAAATGCGAGAAAGGGGAGAGCCGGACCAGGCAGAGTCAGCCAGCAAGGAGTTGACTGCCTTTGTTGGGTTGTACAAATCCCACCACACATGGCTTGTATCTTGTTCGCATGCCGTATCTTTTGAAAGGCATCCAATTGCTGCTCCATACTTTCCCAACCCACAGCAGGCACTCTTTACATCCTCAAATCCTGCAACCAGTAAGTTTCTTAGAATCTTATAATTCGAAGTAATTAAATTCCTTCTTCGAAAATGAAATGAAATCAGTAAATGTATGGAAATTTGAAAGAGTTGGTAGTTGTGATTTGTACCGTAGTGTTCTGGGTTGTTTATGATCTTTCTAATTCCTTGGTACACATCACAGAACACAATCTGGGCATCCGGAAGCTCTGCGCGCAGCATAGCAATCTGCTCGTGCAGCATTTTGTTGTACTCCGAAACCTGCGCATTGATCTCCTCCACACAACCCCTTCCATCATCATCTTCCTCACCGGCTTTGGAATTCGAATTGTACCGGTCCAGCAACATACGAGGTGTGCATCCCAGAGGCAATATCCCCATGCAGATCATCCTCCTCACATTCATGTCATAGAGGTTCCTGATAACATGTATCATCTGATTTGCTAAAACCTGGGAGAATTCTTTGTCACTGTAGTTGGGTTTTGCAGCGCCGGATGCCTTGCGCAGATAGAGGTCGATGTAGTCATCTTTGCCAAAGGAGAGGTAGTAGATGGAAGATCGGATGAAATGGAGAGCTGTTTCC